AGAAGAAAGCCTATGTATCATGCAAGTCCCTACAGAGGACTTATATATTTATAACACATTTCTTTAATGACTCTTTTGGGTTTTGAACCTGGCTATTTCTGTACTTCAGATAGAAGTCAGTTTTTCTATTAACATGAAAATGCAATGTGATGCTTTTGATTTTTCTATATTTTGTCCAAATAGTTAAATCCTTAAAAGATTTCAGCCCTACGTGGTAATAATTATAGAAATCTCAATATGACTGAAAACAGAACATTCAAATACAAGTCGGTAAGTTCCCGAAATAAACACAAGTTTCACATAAAGAATGTCAAAACCTCTCTCTTAAGCCTTGAGCAATACAGGGAAAAGTTAATGGAGTTTTTATCCCTTTATCCTCCTTTACCCATGTCAGAAAATATACAAGCCAATCTACACATAGAACAAAGGTGAAATAGGGTTAAATTTTAAAAAGTAAAACAGTAGTTTTTCAAGTTTCATTGGAGATATGAATCTTAATTAGTAAGGTCCCCTAAGATGAAATATTCATTAAAGTCAACTGCATCCATATTTAGTAGCATACTTCAAGGATCTGTTCAAATGTTTTTATCTTGTTAGTTCAGTACGCTTGGATTTTCTCCTCCAAATATTTTCACCTAGATGTGATTTTAAGGTTACAGTTCAGCAATGAAATGGTGCACACCTAATAAAAAAACCATTGTCAATACTTACGACTTCACTGTGACTAATAAACAAAGGACACATCTTACCCTCTCCATAGGCTCAACTGCTCAACCATAGCAAAGCATGCAAATTACAACGTAATTTCATCTTTCCACAAAAAAAACCCCTCTTTTTCTGTCACAACTGTACAAGGCAAGTTGAAGAAGTTACTTCTCAAGTTAAAAATCTGTAAGTAAAATAGAGACAATCTAAAAGGCAGGGGTCACTGTCCTGACAGTGCCACCATTTCTATGTCAGATTCATAGGACAGTAAATTGCTTTTGTCTTGGTTTTTTTTTGCAACCTCACTCATATGATTTTTGAATTTCTGTGGTTCGTAATTCTGGTACATGCCTACACCCTTCTGATTTTCATAAGATTACAGTTCTGCCAGCACACACTTCCAAGTGCTCTGCTGTGTCATTAGGCACCACCATCACCTGGGATTCAAGCCTGAACAAGCAAAGCCAGGCGAGTCTTCAGTGATGCTGCATCCACAATCAGGTAGCAAATTATTCCTTCTATATCAAAACAGGAAAAGCAACCTCTTAAAAAAGTAGGAATAGCAATGTCTTATTTTTCTGGCACGGGAATGGCTGAAAATGAGCACTGGATGCATTTAAATTGCTCTGTTTTAAGGAGGGGGAAAGAAACCTACTCATTGCCTTTTTGACTTGCTCTTAAAGTTATCATAGCTCTAAAGACTGAACTTCTCCATTTATGCAGGGAACAGTAAAATGAACATATGAACTTTCCCATGCTTTTTATCAGTGCAACTCTAATGTGTGGCACTCAAATCACCAGAAGACCTGAGAAAAGTAATTCCCATCACTGTATTCTTCACTTCGCTACTGAGAGGCAGCAGAGCCAACTGCAACGGATAACATGGTGAGAAGACAAGCCATCCACAAAAACAGCTGGAGCAGCACTGTGTCACTGTCAGTCGTCATCAGCCACTACAAACATCTCCTCATTTCAGCTGAACTGTGAAAGACAGCTTGGATGTAACACACTCCAGAATTCAACTGCAGTTTTTCTAAACTATCCATTCAATCTGAATCTGAGAGTTCTGTAATCTGACAGGAAAATACTGTATCATGAACAGGACAGAAACCCAAAAGCTCAGGAAGTAAAGAAAAAGAAACAAAGATTTCCGTTCAGAGACAAGATCCAGACAAAGCAAAATCCAGGCATTACCAACCAAATTCCAAAATATAAGCTTTTTGACATTAATCTTTAGCCTGAAAAGGTTTTTTATTTTTATAAAGATTTTTTTAAAATTCTTATCAGTATCAAAAAAAATATTTAAATATTTAAAGCCTACTACTCTTAGGCAATCAATGCTTTCACTAGAGACACAGTGAGCCACTTGAAGATAAAAGCTGGAATTTAATTGTGTTAAAACTGCAGCTATAAGGAGGTTGATTTTCTGGATCATATCCAGCCTCATATGGCAGCAGAATAAAGGGTCATTTAGAAAAGCAGAGCATTCCCCCGAGGTAGGAAAATCCTTGGCTGAAGTCACACAGGCAAAAGTATTATTCACCACTTTTTCTCTTCTTCTCTAATAGGTCAAGTGGTATTGCATCTGGAACACTCACCAGGAAATCCTTATCCTGTGAAATACCACCATCCAGTTCTCGTCAACGAGCATATATAAGTCCTAAGACTTCTCTAATTTAAATGAAAAATAGCTGAATTATTAGATTTGTGCAAAAATAGCATGGCTCACTTCCTTCCCAAGCCAAACTGAGTGGGAGTTTTACCACTCATCTCAGGAAGACATAAATATATTCCTCAGCTGACAACACTGCAGTGGCTTGGGTTGTCAAAATAATATTCCAGATCCTTTACCAAACAGCAATCTTTTCTCACTATGGGGAGAAAACTTGCTTTAAGGCTTTTCTGAAGCACAAACCTGACTCACATCAACATCTTCATCTCACTGCCCTATCTCTTAGCATGCAGATTGTGAAAGTACTTCAGAATATCTTTTTGAAGATATTTCAACTTTAAATTGAATTCACAATGGAGAGAGCATGACTTTCTAATCTAGTGGAGAGAGACAGTGCCTAAAAGTTTTAGAATAGGAGCTGGAGAAGGGAATAGGTCTGTTCCAGTACCTGAGAAACCACTCTTTTGAATAAACAATAACTCTGCTTTCAATGCAAAAGTCAACAAGTAACTCAAAGCACTAAGACCATCAACACATTGACTAATGTGTTTAAAAAACCCAAAATATTCAAGAGCTGCTCTTTCTTTAGTTCTGTATAACATCATTATCAAATGAGATTCAGTAAAAGAAACTACTATTATATAACTACACAGTTAAAAGAATATTACAATGCAGGAATAGAATAGAAGTAAACTGAGGCAAGTTTGAGGGAAAACTTACATTTTTTAGCACTGCATTTTGTAATTTTATTTTAGAAGATATATATATGCATGTATATTTCCTTTC